GCCCCTCCATCCTTGACTGTTCATTGTTGAGCACTCAAATTGTTTCCAGTGTTGCTGAAGTTGTGAGCCAGTGTTTCTGTCAATATCTTCCTATCCCCCCTTTTTTCCTTCCTCCCAAAAGACCTATTTTTGGAAGGTGTTTGGGCTTGAAAAACATGTACTTTATTGGCTCTGTACCTTTGCTCAGGAAAGACTTGTTCTCGTTTGTTCAGATTCTATCCTACAAGACCCTGCTCAAATGCTGCCTCCTCCCAGAAGCCTTCACTTGGAAGTAAACTCTTCTGTACCCTACCTGCTCCTTGTCTGAGTTCGGTTGCTGTAACGAAGTACCATAGACTGGGTGGTTTGGAACCAACAGAAATTTATTTCTCAGAGTTCTGGAGGTTGGAAGTCTGAGGTCAGGGTGCCAGCATGGTCAGGTTCTGGTGAGAGCCCTCTTCTAGGTGTCTTCACATGGTGAAGACAGCAAGGCCTCTGGGGTCCCTTTTATAAGGGTGCTAGTGCCATTCATGAGGGCTCCACCCTCATGATCAAATTACCTGCCTAAGGATCCACCTCCTAATACCATCACATTAGGGGTTAGGATTTCAATATATAAATTTTGGGGGGACACAAACACTTAGTACACTGTACTCCTCTCTAGTGATACTCATCACATTCCATATTCTAGTTGAGAACATTTTATATTCACATTGTATCTCCTTTATTAGACTCGGCGGTATACTTCATGTATTTGAAACCCAGAATGAATCATTTTAATACCCCTCCGCTCTGTAAGACAAAACTATTTTCAGTAATACTCATGTAAAAATCAGCAATAATCACTATTTTCTTGATTTGTTCTTTAGTTTTAGAGCAATGAACAATTTGAAAAGGAAGAATACATTTCAACTTTAAAGATACTCAAGTGCCTTAAAAGCACTTCCTGTAAGAACCAAAATTTTTACTTACCAAACAAAATATTATACCTCACAGTTCACTGTAAAATCTGTTTTACTGTTTTAAATTTTAAACACAAAGACTCTAAGCGTCACATAGGATAACAGAATTGATGCTCGAGGTTCTGTTCCTTTGCCTTTACAGTCACGGTGGTATCATTTTTTACTTTGTTTTAAGGCAGGAACATGCAGTAAGGACCACAGAATTGGAGACATGAGATGACCTAAGTGAGCAGGGAGGACTCCGAGTCATTACACACTTCCTCTTGCAATGAGCACATGTCACCGAATCTGCAAGTGTCAGGGGTCAACGGCTTAACTGGGAGTTCTCTAAATTAATGGTGATGGAGAACATAATGTTTATTAAAGGATAATAAAATGTGATCATTTGAAGTTTACATATAGATTAATAAAACTCAACAGTAACCAGAGCAGTTGCCTATGATGTTGACCAAAAATAGCTCTTTTGGAGGGGAGCACCTTCATTTTTATGGCTGACATGAGTTAGAATTGTGATTATGAAAGGAAGACCAACTTTTAGCAAGTTCTATTGTTGTACGTACATTCTCTATGGATGGTGGTCCTCTTTGGAGGACCTGGCTTTCGGGGCAGATGGTCCCCACCTCCCACCTCCCGATTTGACACTGAGCCCCTGGGGGCGGGGATGGCTGTGCAGCCGGGGAAAGTCCAGTCTCTACCCTGCGAGCCCTGCGGTGCTGAGTGCGGGTGGGGCCCGCAGGCGGCTCCGAGGACGGCCTCACTCTTCCTACACGCGAGGCCCATTTCCTTCATGCGCGTCCGACAAAGCAACATTTCATAGCACATTGGACACAGAAACAGATGAACGGACCCACCTGTCTTCCATTAAGCCAGACATTAAAGAAATTTCTTAGTAAAAAAGTGTTGCCCTCTGACTCACTATTTGTTGTTGCTGTTTGGAAAATACAAGTTATTTCTCATAATATCATGTTATACATGTGAACGTGATGATTCTGTTGTTATTTTTAAAAGCATTCAAATTTTAAAAATTTCTCAGTTTTAATCTCTCTTATGGTGAATATTGATAGCTGTAGTCCATATACAAAAGCTCTTTGGAGTTCTAAGTAGTTTTTTTTTTTTTAAATATGTTTTTATTGATTTCAGAGAGAGGAAGGGAGAGGGAGAGAGAGATAGAAACATCGATGATGGGAGAGTCATTAATCGGCTGTCTTCTGCACCCCCCTACTGGAGATGGAGCCCGCAACCTGGGTGCCCTGACGGGAATCGAACTGTAACCTGGTTCACAGGTCAGCACTCAAACTCTGAGCCACACCAGGCCTAAGTAGTTTTAAGGGATGTAATGGAGTCCTGAGACCAGAAAGTGACTGAATAAATGGGCTTCAGCTGCTTCTAGGATTTGGAAGCTGTAGCTAGAATTGGAGGGAGGGGGCAGAACCTGCAGGTAGTGGGAGTGAGTACGAGGAAGGTGGTGCTGTGGGGATGTAGGAGAAGCTTCCATTTGAAGCAGTGTTGGCAATACCATTGGTTTGGGCCTGGGCCTCAGGAAAGGAGGTCTGGGGATGAGGGTCATGGTGGCTCTGCGTCCTGGGGGTTTCAGGAGGCTCCCTATATCCTGTTCTCCTTAGTGCTGACCATCAGAAACAACTGCCCAAATCTGCCTCCTGGGAGAGGAATTGAGCAGAATGGTTTTCTAGGAACTGCTGGCTGTCAAATCACCGGTGTGAGCACAACACAGAGAGAGATCTATATCCCCAGTCAGACAGATTAACCTCTAGGTGCCTCTCCCTGCTCTGTGCTGACGGCCATGAACCGAGCTGCTTAACTGCTGGCTCCCACATGGTGGGAGTGGGGTAGAATGTTTGGGCAGCTCTGGCACATACTGGGTACATGGTCCATTAGTGGGTCCATTAGTAATGTTGTTAATAATGATAAAAATAAGTAGGCTGTGAGGGGTGGGCTTATAGAGTCCTTGAGGGGCTCTTTCTGGCCCATGACTAGTGACAGCTGGAGCTTGGTGTAGACCAGGATTTCCCGACCTCAGCACTATTGACATTTTACCTGGATAATTTATTGTTGTGGGGCTTGTGCATTGTAGGATGTTTAGTAGCATCCCTGACCTCTACCACTATATGACAATAGCACTCTCTCCCCAGTTGTGACAACCAAAAATGTCTCTAGACATTGCCCAACATCCCCGGTGGTGGTTTGCCCCTGGTTGAGACCACGGTTATAGGTCCTCGTTGACAAGGGATGCTTGCTCCCTGGCGGTACCCAAGAAGACACGCACCAGCCTCATGCACACAGATCTGGCTCACTCCTTGCAGAAATAATTCTGCCAAGAGATTCTGTTCTCAAAGGAACAAGAGGCCTCCTGGCTCTGGTCCTTCTTCCTGAGGAACCTGCCTGCTAACTGTGGCCACTCCCCTCGGCTTTTGGACAAACCACGCCCCAGGAAACAACAGCTGCCCAGCATGGGGTTTGCTGAGGGAAACCTGGACAGTACCCCTCAGCCTGGGGGAGACAGGCCTGCCCTTCGACCTCCATCTCAGGTACCTATGGCTTCCAGTCCCCAAATCTCCTCTGAAAACCAGTCTGGGCCCATTAACAGCAGAATAGACAAATAGAGGGTGGTTTTTCACACACTGGAACGCGACAGAGACCAGAGGAAGGATTCACCAGCACACACATCTGCAGAGACGAATGTCACCAACATAATGTTGAAAGAAGCCAGAAGTACAAGAGCACACACTGTACGCTCCCATTAGCAAAAAGTTCCAAAAATGGCAAAATAATCTACGTTAAGACCCCAGGGGTGCACAGGAGAGGCATCTGGGTTGCAGGTTCAGATTGCAAAAACGTATTAAGCACTTTATGACACAGGCACTTTCATATATATATATATATATATCATATATATATGTTATACTTCAATAACAAATAAACAAACAAAACAACATTATAAACCAAAGTTCAGAACCGCCCCTTCAGCAAAGTCTCTGCAAACCCAGAGAACAGAAATCATAAGCAATTTTGCCTGTATGGCTCTAAATTATTATTATCGCTTTAGGACATGGCTTTGTAAATGAGATGTCTATGCAAAATAATTAGCATAGTGGTTGGCACGCAAAATACTCAGTGGGTGGTAATAACTAATATTAATAAGCTGTTAACTGACCTAGGATACAAGCTAATAATTGAATGCAAAGAACAGCCCTATTTCTTAAAGGAGAAAAAAAGGTTCTGGAATTTTCAGGGACATCCTGAAAATTCCTGATTCTCAATGTTTTTGGAGCTCCCTCCAAACATGGTCTTTGAGGAAAGAAAAATCTAAGCCTCCACCTTAGAATGACTAGCTCCTGACTGGTGACCAGCACAAAAACAAAGTCGCAGATGCCAGTGTTATTTGGCTGCATTGTTCGGTTCATCTATCATTTATTGATCCTATGCACTGTTTAGTCAGGAACATGGAACCCACCTACCTGGTCAAGCATTTGGATCTCTTTGGCCATCAGTCTAGTTTGTGGATTCCACAGACTCAGAGTAAACCTTTGGCAGAAACAATGACGTCTAGAAAATGTGCGATGATATCTGTGCGTTAGGCCTGACCGCAAGCAGGACTCTGCACGTTCCTTTCTCTTCTGAGAGACCCAGCAATCAGACAACCTCAACACGACAGACATTTCACTGCAAGCTGTGCTTCCCGACTGCAAATCAGGTGCCAAATTACCTCTCAGGAAGATCGGAAACTCTTTCAGACTATTTTCCACTGCAGAAATCTTAGATGACTCTTTCTGAGCCAGATAAGCAAGAGACTTCAGTGCCAGCTGCAAGTGTTTTTAGAAGACCTCTACTCCCGGAGTTGTTTCCTAAAATTACAGTTATTACAAACTGCTGCATGTCCCTGTGACCTGCGATGACACTAACAGAACCACCGGGTATGCCATGAAGCAAGCTCTGTCCCACACAGTCAAGAACACTTGGACTGTTTGTGACATACATTCAAAAAAAAAAATACAAAAAAATACATCCATGCCCATCTCCAGAGAAAAGACAGGCTCTTACCTAGTCCAAGCCTTTGTCCATGGGCACTTGACTGGATAAAGATGCTCAAAAGCAAGAGAACGGAGACACACAGGGGGCTTCCCATTTCTCCTGTCTCACACGGGGTCCAGGTCTTCTTGCTAATTTCTGAAGCTAAAGAGACCAGATTGCCTATTGATACTTTGTTAGGAAAGGCTGCCCATTAATAATTAACCTTTAAACACATTATCTAGAATTCAGACATCCCTTGCTACCCCCAACCCCAAATCTAAGTATATCTAATACAAAAAATGGTTAATTTACAAAAGTGGTTTTTATCCTGATACATGTTGAGAATAAAACACCTTGCCATGTACTCTTACCTTCTTAGACCGAGGTCACAGTTCCAAATTAGCCAATTTAATTTAAAGTTAATGAGTTGTGTTTGGAAGCCCTGTCAAAGGTCAGGGTAGGTGGCTCCTACACGGTTGCCCAAGTTCCCCTTACAGGGCTGCATAGGGCTGCAGGCTCTTGGCAGTGGTATTTTAAATTGCAGGTTAAGCCCAAAGCAAAAGCAAAGGGCTCTGCTATGTGGAGAGCTTCCAGAGGGTCTGTTTTCTGTTGAGTTGAGCAAACTTGCTGTTGCCTGTGGCCAGAGTGGTGGGGCAATGTTTCTAAAACTGAAAGGGATGGAAAACCTCTAATCTTCAGTGTAAGAAGGAGCAAAGATACAGAACTGGATGCCTGTGCTGGGACCCCATGGAGAGACGACCCCAGAAGAGACACAATCTTTACTCCTCTGTGTTAATTAATGCTCCAACTGTGTAGAGGACTGAGAGGTAAGGCCACTAGGCAAAACCAGGCAGGGGAAATGCTACAGTGTATGACTCTTATCATAGTTCTTGGGTCTCTAGTTTTATTTCAACTTTATTCATTTATTCAACTTTTTTTTTTTTTGCATTCCTTCTGTTTGCCAGGCACTGTTCTAGGCACTTGGGATATACAGGCAAATGAAATGGACCAAGATGCCAGTCCTCGTGAAGCTTATGTACCCTTGGGGATGGAAGAGACAAATAATAGACAATAGACATAATCAATAAGATGTTTATGTAGATTGGTAGACTGCAAGGAGAACTATGGAAAAAGAAAAAGTATAGCAGAGCTAAGGTGGTGGGAGAAGTTAGTGATTTTAAATAAAATGGTCAGGGTGAGCCTTGTTTGGAAGTTGAACTTTGAGCAAAGCTTTCAGTGAGCTGCCTCTGTGAAGAGGAGAGCTCAGGCAGCCAGAACAGTCAGCGCATCCAGTGCAAAGGCCCTGAGGTAGAAACATGCCTGGTATGTTCCAGGAACAGCAAGGAGATCAATGATTAGGGAGATGTCATTATAAGGACTTTGGCTTTTACGCTATGAAACATGGGGAACCATTTTGAGTAGAAGCCGGACATGATTTGTATTATATTTTAAAAAGATCATTCTGGCTTACAAGGCTAGAAACAGATTATTAGCAGGCAAGGGTGCAAGTGGGGAGATCCATTAGGAGGCTATTGCATCAATCCAGCAAGAGGTGATGGTGGCTGGTTCAGCACTGTAACAGTGGCATTGGAGAGTGGTGCTGGGTGCTGGGCATATGTTGAAGGTAAATGCAGTAGGATTTCCTGACTCCTGGGATGTGGAATGTGAAAGAAAGAGAAAAGTTGAGGATGACTTCAGGGATTTTGGCTTGAGCAACGGGACAATGGGGTTGATATCAGCTGAAATGAGAAAGGCCATGAGTGGAGCAGGTTTTGGAGGAAGATTAGGGATTCAGTTGTGAGCTGGTGGAGTTATGTCTGTTAGACATCCAAATGGAAATGTTGGGTAGGCAGTTAGAAAACCTGGTGATCACTGCCCACCCGAAACTGACAGACAGGACATTCTGAAGCCACCAGCAGGTTTGGACAGATTGACCCAAGGCCAGAGCCTAACACTGTGCTTCCTGTGGCTACACTTCTGTCTAGAGGGCTGCAGCGTGGGGACCACCCACTAGGTGCAGATTTCGGAGCAGAGCGTTCTGCCCTGGCTCCCTGGCTGGCTCTGCCCTACCCTGCAAAGTTAAACAGGATCTGAAGGTTCCATTTTACTTCTTATTTCCCAGAAAGCTGAAAGTTAAAACCAGCTGACTCTGTGTGTTGACTTCCTCTCCCGAGGGTCCACCTCATCTTATGTCCTCTGGGTCCTGCTCTGCAGATTAATTTACTAACACACAGTGCATCCAAGTGCCTTCGGGATCCTGGATCTACTATCTACCAGCTGGGCAAAATGCTATTTAACCTCAATGAAATCCATCTCCTCGCCTGTAAAATGGGATAACATGAGCCGGGGACAATATTTTGAGATATTAACTTAATATTATTTTTCTCTCATCTTCCCCCTGCCTCCCACTTAAGAAGAGCAAAGTAGAGAGACGTCTACAAATCTTTTGTCTTCCCCATACTTAGAACCTAGGGGCAAGTGAATTTACCCAAAAAAGGCAAGCAAATGGCAAAAACATGTCTTAAAGATACGTGAAGAAATAAGGAGCACCCCACCTTCCCATCACTAGAAAGCCTCTTGGGCTTTGCAAGTGGGTGGGAGAGGGGGAGATTTGTCTATGAGAGCAGAAGGGATAGCCCCATGCTCCCTAGAACTCTGCTAGAAGGTGGTAAACACCCAGAGGGAAATGATTATGTGTGTGTTGGCAGGTAGACAAAAGATGCCTCTGGGCCTGGTGTGGAGTGGGAGCAGCAATGAGCCTCCAGTGCCACCAGGTCATGCAGATGGGCAGGACAAGCCCCTCAGTGGCTACCTGTGTGGACTGATGACAGAAACCCAGGTGCTTACTCCCAACCCCAGGCCTGGGTATTATGGTCTGATCCAGAACTATGGCATAACTGGGGTGAGGGGGTGGGGAGAAAGAATCCAGGAGGGCCTGAAAAATAAGAGTTTGGACTCGTATTTAACCCATTTGAAAATGGGTTAAAGAAAATAAAGACATATCTTGCCTAGCAGAATTTGTGAACTGAGATTCACACCTCTCTAAACACAGGCATATCCTGAGAATTAGAGATTTGTATATGAAGTGCCCAGCCAAGTGCTTGCTTCAGAGTAGAGGTTCAATAAATTATAGTGACTTATTTTGGAGAAGGTATGCTCAGGGATCAAGAGTTCAGGCTTTGAAATCAGACAGATCTAAGTTCAAATCCCTGGCCTATCATTTACTAACTGGGTGAGTAGGGCAAGACACTCAAGTTCTGAACTTGACTTTTCTCCACGTGTATAATGGGACTAATAACACCTACCTGATTGGGTTAAAGGAGATAACTTGAAGAGTAAAGTCCTTAGCAGTCTGGCGAGAAGAAAATAATAAATGGTAGCTATAACTGTTACTTTTGTTGTTTTTAATTCACCTTGGGTATCAAAAGGGCGTCCAGGAGGTAGGTAAACAGCAGGACCACAGTGATCAAATTTTAGCAGAAAACGAAAAGCTTAGGAAAACAGAAGGGCTTGGACCAGTCATTCCGAAATCTGATTGCACGCTGGAATCAGAGTCAGGAAAAGGAGGAATTATGGGCCTATCCCAAGAACAACTGAGTTAAAACTTCTAGGTTGGGGCCTGGAGAGCCTTCATGGTAAACAGGTTCTCCAGGCTGTTCTTAGTCACCTGAAGTTTGAGAATCACTGCCTCGGAGTGGTGCTTGAGAGATCTGTTGGGACATAAGAAGAAAATGACAGACCTTCAGATTTTTCTCACATCATCTGCTATAGGCTGAATGCTCCAAAATTTGTTTGTTGACTCTTAACCCCCAAGGTGATGGTATTTGGAGGGGGGACTTAGGGCGGTGATAAGGTCATGAGGGCAGAGCCCTCATGAATGGTATTAGTACCCTTATAAAAGGAACCCCAGAGAGATCCCTTGCCCTTTCCTCCATGTGAGGTTACAATGAGAACATGACCATTTATGAGGTCCCCATCAGACATCAAAACTGCTGGATGCCTTGATCTTGGACATCCCAGCCTCTGGAACAGTGAGAAATAAATTTGTGTTGTTTATAAGCCACACAGTCTGCGGTATTCTGCTATAGCAGCCCAAACAGACTAAGACACCACCTTGGAAAATTCTGTTTGTGTATTTATGTTTATAATATATTCACACTATACAATTTGTATATAGTACTATGTAATATATTAGTGCTATATAGTTTATAAGCAAATAAATATCCATCTATTTTTGGTGGGGCACTCAAAAATTTTTAAAAAAATATATATCTTTATTGATTTCAGAGAGAGGAAAGGAGAGGGAGAGAGAGAGATAGAAACATCAATGATGAGAGAGTCATTGATCGAGCCCACAATCCGGGCATGTGCCCTGACAGGGAATCAAACTTTGATCACCTGGATCCTAGGTCAATGCTTAACCGATGAGCCATGCCCGGCCGGGCCACTCAAAAAATGTTTTAAACTGATAAAGGCACTCCATTAAAAGGGCATGAAGACTCTGCCATAGAGAACTAGAATGGCCCCCAGGTCTTCATGACCTGAATGCAAAGTCGTTGACTCCATCAATACTTTGGAACAGTCAATACATCCGTTAGTGAGATGTTCAGTAATTCCACGCCAAAGAAAGCCCAGTGGTTTGTGGAGGACCCTTCCTTTCTCCTGAGCTGAAAAGGGGGCAGGCCTGAGTCCCAGGGAGGCTGGAACTTGCAGTAGAGTTATCAGCACTGCCCATGGTAATACAGCCCAGCGGTGCCCCTCACCTGCACTCCTCACTGGTTTTACAGTTAGAGTCTTAAAATTGTCCAGTTTTTGTTCTCTTTTAATTTGAAGAGCTTCTTAAAGAAATAGAGGTTCTAAGAGATTGGCATTTGATGACCTGAATGTAACCTTTTCCTTCAATGTAATGGTGATAGGAAAGTTAATCAAGGGAAAAAAATAAATATTTTACAGAGGTAAGGAGAGCAAGTCCCAGGCAGGGAGAAGCCAGGGGATCAAGGTGAAGTTCACTGATGAGAGAGACAGGGTTTTATATTCAGAACCAGATTTGTTTGTGTTCGTCTTCAGAAACTGGGGATGCCTGAGAAGGGCGGCCTCGGGTGGTGTTCTAAGAAAAGAGTAATCAAAACAACAGCTTTTGGGTTGTTTCCAGATCTTAGCTA